TTCTTTGCTTTAGTCTTCTTCGCGAAAGCGGTTCATGTTCGTTCAACAGAAAGTCTTCCCTTTGTCGGTTGTTACTTGTACTTGTAATTCGTTTTAACACTACTGGGCTGCCTAATCAATGGCTCTCGCTTCCTTCGTTATGATCGCGATTCACGATAGAAAGTACTGACAGCACTGCCAACGCTGACGTTCAACTGCGCCCAACTTCAACTGGCTCTTTCTTTCAAGGGTTAGACTGATGATGGGAGATGTGATAGTCTGTGGCTTAAATTCTTCAGCCCTCGCTGATGCGATGAAAATTTGCTGAAAACACCAGAAGCGACGCGAGTTGAGGCGGTTTTAGGTTTTGGTTATTTGTTTAATAACGGCGATGTTGGGTTTCTAACTTATACTCAGTTGGCAACGAACCCGGGTAGTAATACTGTTGGAGGTGTTCAAAGGAGCGTAGCGGATACTAACAAGGGAGGCGTTCCAAAATGTAAAAGCTTTCATCAGTTTTAAAGCTTGTGAAGCTGGATACCGCTGTCTTCTTGTCCTATCAGAACACATTATGTTTAACTAGTTTCGTTAAATTACAAATTGTTCAACAAGGTGCTCCTGCTGAGTTCACGGCTACAAAAGCATCTAATGCTTGGCTAACACAAGGGCCGGCTTTCCAAGCAAAAGTGTACTCTCTTGATGATAGTTTCTACGCGGAATATGCAAAATATTTGAACCGGGTTCTCTTCCAATTGCCGTTGAAACTGAAACAGTGCAAGAACAAGCCACTTCGTCATCTACCGAATTTTCACAACGATTGTGAGGAATGTGTCCAAACTGAAGAAACTTTTGGTTTCATACAACAAACAAAGGTTATGTGGCTGGAGTTGGTGCAGTTCTTAAGGAGTCCAACTCGCTATATCAACCATTCGCGCGCCAAGGTGTCAAACATGGATGCTGGATACTATGACCCTATAGTTGATTTTACCGCTTCATTGGTTATTGGTAACAAGGTTTTCCTGTCAAGAAGTTGAAAGTGTTGTGAAGCATTTGTTCACTTAATGCATTGCGCAGACAATTCAATGTTAGTTTCAACTGAGGACTATAAAAAAGCATTTATGTTCGTTTTTAACTTACAAAAGCTCGAGTCGGCAAGTTATTCGGGAATGAGGTCAAGAAATAGTCCCCTTGATGGGACTACTTTACACACAAGAAAATGTATGCCAGGACGGATGTAGATTCATATGGTTTATGAGTGTATCCCTGAAACCCGCTGTAACAGCGTAACCTTTTTATGATTGAAGAAGTAGGTTATTTTTGATTTTAAAAACAATATAATGTGACGCGTAAACCACTACTCAGTTGCACGGGGCTAATTTCAATGCCATCATCGCACAAGGTTTAATTAACGGTAGCTTTAACGCTACCACCAACAGCAGGAAATGTAGGCAACGTAGGTGCTAAATTAGTAATTTGTTATCAACTTCTATTGTGTCACCCAATTCTCATCATATTTCACGAAGTTCGCTTTTAAAATATCAATTACGAGCAGGGTAGTTTAATGAAGCAGGTGATCATCATAAGATAACAACTCACAGTTTGTTAGCATACAAGTTGGATACATCAATGATAAACCATGGAGGTTCAACGCCGTGTTTGGAGGCTTGGAGATGTAGAAAGTACCAACGGTTCTAGTTTCTAAGTCACCGTACAACAGTTTTTCCTAATGCACAGGCAAGGGGTTTATTTTCTTGTTCGTCTGTTTAGATATTACAGGTTCTGAAACCCTTACAGTCGGACAATTTAGAAGGATTAACACAAGGAAACACAATTAATAGTTCTCGCGAGATATCGAGGTCAAAGATCAGGTAAACTCTGGGAGGAAGCGCAAGGGGTTTGTTTCAATCAGCTACTTAAAGTGGTTGGTCGGGCCAACCTCATGGGCTCTGGAGGTAGTATGAAGTATTAATTAGGGTATTTATATGGCGACACCGAGACAGCCCCCTTCCCCGTAAATACAGGGCGTAACACACCCGCGGGAAAGACATGAATGCCCATCACCTAATTTCGGGCTACAAAGGAAGAGATGGTAGAAGTGGATGAGTAGCCGAATGGGAGATGCCGTTGTTTGTCGTGTGTGGGTTAAGGATAGGTTCGGTTTAAGTTCTGTTGGTATCCGTGGTCATGTGTGCAGTTGTGCCGGACAAGCGAAATTTTCTGAGAATAACTTCGTTGCTGTCAGTATTGGTGATGTTAGAAATGCCTTTTCATTTTTGGCTGCTGGGTTAGTTACTAAAGTTGTTGTTTATAAACCTTTTGATGTATTAGGCAATATTCGTACAAATGCTGATGTCGGTTGTGACAATGACACTATTGCTCTTGATGATAACCTAACAGTTGATACGAACTGTGAATTTCGCATGTGTTTTAGCGCGTTTTCACCTTTTGATATCAGACTACCGATGCTTATTCTGGAACAAAGTTGGAGCAGTCAATATTTCCATCGGGTGGATTTTGTTAACACTGCCACTGCCGATGCTTTGGGACACACATCTGCGGACGACGTTTATGTCAAAACTTGTGGAGCGTTACGAACCAATCATAAGCGCCTAACGGGGGCACACGGGTAACTGGTGATATTGATTTAGCAGTTCAAAACGCATATCTAGCAACTAGTATGGTTTAGTTCTTTGATTTAAATTCGGTTTCATGTTTTGACCGTATGTCAATGACTCAAACAGAGCGTTCAGAGTGGCATATAATTCATTCGACTACACCTTCCGTTGTGTTTTCTATTTTCAACTGATATGACCTTTGGGACGACTGCAATTACTGGCAGTTTTACAAAAATACCTCATCAGCATCCAGTGAAAATGAAACAGTTGCCGGAGTGAGGAGTTTGTTCTGTAGCGCAGTTGAAGAGGAAAGCGGTGGAGTTGTTAAGTTTGATGCTGATACCTTTTTGACACTTATACTAGCGGCGCTAAACATCTCGAGTTGCAGTCTACTCAATTTGGAGAATATAACAGTCTTAACCTGTCATCCGCTGAACGACTGAAAACTGAGACACAACATGTAGAAGACAACACTACATCTATTGACATGATTGCAAATATTTTCAAAGACCTCACAAAAATGTTGAATCTGAAAGCACGAAGGAGGGTTCATCGCCCAAAATGTGAAACCAACATTCCCCCCCTACATGGAGTTGTAAATGATGCAGGTGAATATGTATCAATGAGTTGTGACAAAATAGTATAAGATGTTTTTTGAAGAAGGAAACTAGCGAATTGATAACGCGCCTCTTGATGAATTAGTTTGAAACTGATGATCACAAGAGCGACTACTTATTGCAAGTGTAAGCCTAGTGTCACCGTAAGTAGACAAGTTACAACAAGAAACGTCTGGTAAGATATCTTGCAAACTGCCACCGGCCAGTCTGTCTTCATATTCTTTGCTTTAAATGAGTAATACCAAAAGGTAATTAACATTGTTCGTTAGGTTTTGTACACTAATGCGGAAAATGTTCAAAGATTTTTTCTACCGGGGTTCTTTTCTAAAAGGTTGCTATTTAAACAACAATGGGGTTCGCCCGTGGCAGCCTCCTAAGTTTTGTTCTTGCTTTCTTTGAACTGCTCATATGTGATCCTGTAACATTTCAATTGTTTGAAGTTTAGTTGCTTTGGAATGCAACAGATGACTTGTATTTACTCTGGTAATTTGCGGGACAGTATTTCACTAACTGTGTTCACGTAGTTTGTTTAACTACCTACTTTTTAAATCTTTTTTCATGTATTTCTTCACTCGCAACCAAATGCCAGGAGAAGATTCTTCCAGCTGCTCCTCTGTAAATATCAAGTATCCTTGACACGAGTAAAGGTGGGTTTCTATTTCCAGAAGGACCTACAATCATCGCTCCCGTGTGTAGTTTAGGGACAACCTCGTGCTTACGCGTTGGAAGTCGCATTTGATGTCATCAGTTGGTTTTAACACAAGGCGTCACAGGTTGTGTTTAGGGACACCTTTACATAGTAGTAATTGTTCTTTATGAATGGGACATCTTTGCATGTTATGCTGGTTGGTGAATGTCATGGAAAGCCTGTCAAGAAGCATTGAAGATAACTAGTTCTGAGTTTTTGAACTCCGCCTATGTGCGCAGTTTCATGAGCCCCGCTGCCCCAGCAGAAGAAACAATCGTGAGACCCGAATATTCTCTCACGCACGAAAAAAATAGCAGACTTACTAAACAATTTCCTTGTTATTTGATATGGAGAGAAGTTATTCAGATTATAAGGATATCATAGATGAAGTAGGGAAATAAAACAAGTAGTAATAACTCCTACTGAAACTAAGTATCGTAGAACCAACTAAGTTAGGTATGCAAAAAATACAAAGTACAACGGTAAATATGAATGGGACGGAAGAAGCACAAAACATGAACCGGGTTCTTGTTGTTCTTCAACGGAGAATGATAAAGAAGGAGTTGTGATACAAGCATCGGTCATTGAATTTATGTGTCCAATGCGTCAAAGTGTGGGAATGTCTTTGAGATACAAAGAAGAGAAACTGCAAATGCTGCTGGACCACTTCCCTCCGCACGGGCAACTCCGCGTGGTCGCGGGCGGTGTCTCGCCATCGTCATCGCAGGCGAGGCGGCGCGTGACGGATATATCCCTGTACATATATATGAAAGGTGAGGCGAAAGCCCGCTCTCTTTGCTTGCCGCTTTTGAAACATGAACCTGAACGAAAATCAGTCACGCGTGACGTTTCTTTTACAGATACATTTACGCGCACGCATGCGTGTGTCTGCCCCGGTGCTTAAGACATGCACACACACACACACGCACGCGTATATACACATATACATGTATTCTCTCGGCCCGAGACAGGCTGTGCAGTCAAACACCTTCGCGGGGCGATCAGACAGACAACGTTCCTATTGATGCCAAGGGCACAGTGGTCCGCGCGTCACAGTTGACTCCGCGCCCGAGACAACGCTCGGACTACCCTTCGTTCCAGGTGGCGCTCATGCCGTGCGACGCATCAGGCCGGCCGCTGCCGTGGAAGTTCAACCCGTTTGGAGCAAAGAGCTCCTTGGCTTTGGAAAAGTTCTTGTCACTGCCAAGGCACGGGCCGTGGCGCCGAGACGTGATGGGCAGCGGCGGCGGAGCCAGCGGTGGCGCCGCGGGCGGCCACGGTGGAGCCAGCGCTGGCGCCGCGGGCGATGGCCTTGTGCGCGTATCAGGTTCAACATAGTCAAGAAGGCAAAGTTAATGAGTACGGATAAAATTTCAGCTGCGGAGTTAAATTTAGAACGGATGCCCCTCATCGTGCTACACGCGTTGGAAGGGGGAGCAACCCCGTCAGGTGACGGACACAAGCTAAAAGGAACATGATGAAATTGATCAAAAATTAGAGCCCCCTTTCTACATGCAAGATGTTAGAAGTAACAGTTTTAGTTGCGTTGAAGAATTGAAACTGTACATGTCTTTCACAACGAGTATGAGATATCAAATCAGTGCGTTAATCATTATAGAAATGGTAAAGTTGGTTTCAGCATGTGTTACACCTCCACTACTCATGCAGATTTAAATAAGCAGCCGTGTTAAACATTCAATTGTAAAAGACATGTTCATATTCTTTAAGTGCTTTTGTAGCTTGATAATAGACATGCTATTCGCTTTTTACGAAGGAGCATTAAGAAAATGCATAACATGTATCAAAGGAATAGCAATGTTCATTTTGTTTTTTTATTGCATGAACTGAGTGCTTCGATACAACTGAAGAATCATAATTTTAAAACATCAACCATTTGTAATTCAACCTGTAAATTGAATAGTAATTTCCCGAGTATGAAATTCATCGTTTTGAGCCGATTTACAATGATATATGAAATGTAAGGCTGCGATAAACCATTGTTAGATGTATGGTTTGATAAAGACCTTAGAGTATGGAATGCCTGAAGCAGGCAATTTTACTAAGAATTGCAGGCAATTTTACTAAGAATTGTTTAATGAAGGGCTTTTGACTGTTAGTAAGAACATGCAAAGTTTTTCTGAACTTAGGAAAACTATTGAGGAAACGTTTTCCAACCCAAAAGCAATACCAAAATAATGATGCTGATAAACAAAAGATGGATACCATTGCAAAAAAGAAAGGCGTCGGACGACCTTCTGGGGCTTACAACAGTAGACAACACATTCTGGGGAAATGCTAAGAAAGAAACGGACTACCCAGCCAAAGCAACAGCCCTTGGGAATTTTCAATATTGAGTTTGATGAAGGTACTGAGGTTTATTCATACACCTCCAGAAACAGCAGGTGTTTCTGCCTAATGATCATAAGTGCTTCTAATAATATTGACGTTTCAGAATTTTTGGTGGAACAGGCTCAGTTAGTAGAATTGCTCGTAGGTTTTAATGTAGTGTCATTGGAATTGAGAGATGCTGATATGAGTACTGGTTTTTGACATGGGTATGAACAGTTTGGCAAAACCATTTTGACTTTATGTGGAGTTCTCCACCGTGCGTGGAATATAGCAGAGCAAAAACTGCAGGGGTCAGAACGATTGGCTATGCCAGTTCTTTCGCAATTGAAACTAGTGAAATTTTCAATACTCCAATCCTAAATGTTATGTAGTTGAACACGTTCAAAATCGATCATTGCAAAATCAGGAGTTTATGAATGAGCTTCCGCGTAAGAAAGACTGTGAGAGCATTAAGAAGAGCATGTTGAAACTGCGCAACGGCTGCCGTCAGGAACTCAGAAAACTGGGGTGATAATAACGCAAAACATAGGCAAGAAGATCTGCCTAGTGATTTAATACTTGAAGCCTTGATGGGTTTGCCGGATTAAAGGAGTTGAGTTGCGATGCTCCAAATGTCAGGTTGGTGATATTTCAGGTTAGGACGTGACAGAGTTAAGGTAAGGGCGCTAAACACGCTAGGCTAAAAACATGCCAAGCGCGTGGAAGATTTCAGGTTAGAACGACGTGCTTTATTTCAGGTTGAGACGTGCTGTTGTTTAGGTCGGGACGTGCCATTGTTCAGGCTGGGGCTATGTAATTGTAGCATTTTAGTTAGATTTGCATATCTCTTTCAATTGTACTTGCTGGGGCGGCTGCTAAAAGTTTAAGGGGGTTCAGTGTGTGCTTTCAACTTTTTTCCTATGTTTTGGGGACTAGTGCTGCGCGTAAGGCAACGCGCATAACAACTTGGCGGTGTCGCTGAGACGTGATGAGGCCTGTGCCTGTGACGGAACTTGTGAGGGACAACTGGCCCGGCTGATTGGTTGAGAAACATCTAGGAAGGGGCTGCGCGTCGGGGACCGGCTTGTCGCTTTCCAGGTGCTTTCGCTGCAGCAAGGGCCAGCAACACAGCGCTCGCTCTTCCAGCAAGCCGCGGGCGCCTCGGTTTCCTGCGGGCTGTCCGGTCGAAGTTCAGCAAGACCGGAGATGGAGCGCTCGAGCCAAAGGTTTGACAGCCCAGAGATACAGTGAAGTTTCACTCGAGGTGCGAGCCAGACAGCATGCTGCTCATGGCGTGCGCAAATTTCTAGTTTTTTCCAAATTAGGGGGGGTAGTGGGCATTCCCGCGCCATTCTATGGTCAACATTCCGGTGCGAAGCAAGGGCGGTGGACACGCAAAGCGAGAGAATGCGACAAGCCCACCAGGCGCAACCGCAGCGGGCTGGGTAGCGGTGCGGGACAAGCGCGGCGGGCGCGTCAGCAGGCAGCGCGGGCGCGGGGGGCGCATTTGCAGCGAGCTGGGTAGCAGGCGTGGCGAGCGCGGCGCGCGGCCGGCGCTTCCGCCGCCACGAAGCACACCCAGCTACGCATGTGCGCCTCCCCGACTAGCTTCGCGCCAGCCAGCAACAACGACACCAAAACTAGAGAATGGCCGGCCCAAAAGCATGATCTCCGTGCAAGTTGCCTTGAACAAGTTTCCTCTACTCGCGTAACGCTTTCGTACTCAAAAGTTGCGGTTTTCGCGGAAGTGTACTTCGCGTACTACTTTCGTACGTAAATGTTGCGGTTTTCCACGCGCAGCTGCGAAGGTTACTTGGCGTACTACTTTCGTACATAAAAGCAGGCGCGGGTCTGGATTTCCAGCACCGCGGAACTTCGACAGAGTTTTTTTGGGAGTTAGGCAAAAACTGCGCGTGATTCCAGGAACTGATTTGAAACTTCGACTAGCGGTTCTGCGGAACCGTTTTGATACTTGTTGTGTTTGCGCCACAGCATCAAGGAAGCCTTCGAAGATCACTTTTGCGGAATCTGACGATGGCTGGACTGTTACAAGATTATCATGATGGAGTCATCATCCTTGTCACCCTCGTCGTCAATATCATCAACATCATCATCATCGTAGTCATCGCCATCTCCTTTTCAGAGTATACCTTTCAAGTGTGGCGTCAGGCACCATTGGTGATGCAGAGGACGCGTAGTCACGAGTATCATCATGACTGCTGGTGATGCTGAGGACGCGTCATGATAATTATCATCCGATTGGAGATGCAAAAGATGCATAGACCATCAGCATCTCTTTCTATTCTATACTACGCATTTCAAGTGTGGCATTAGACGCCATTGGTGACGCAGAGGCTGCGTAGTCATGAGTATCCATGAGTGCTGGTGATGCTGAGGATGCGTCATGATTATCATGATGCCTGCTGGTGATGCTCAGGATGCGTCATGATGATTATCAGCCAAATTTAAATGCGAAAGATGCGTGGACTTGATTATCACAACGATTGCTGGACTGTTACATGATTATCATGATGACTGCTGGACAGTTATCATCTGAGTCATCATCCTTGTCACCTTCGGTCGTCAATATCATCATCATCATCATCGTAATCATCGTTTTTTTTGTAAAGTATACATTTCAAGTGTGGCGTCATGCGTCATGATGATTATCATCCGGTTGGAGATGCAAAAGATGCATGGACAGGATTATCATGATGACTGCTGGTGATGCTCAGGATGCGTCATGATGGTTATCAGCCGAGTTGAAATGCTACAGATGCGCGTGCATGAGTATCATGATGCTTGCTGGACTGCTACATGATTATCATGATGACTGCTGTGGACTGTTACATGGTGATCATGATGACTGCTGGACAATTATCATCAAAGTCATCATTCTTGTTACCCTCGTCGTCAATAGCAGCGTCATCACCGTAGTCATCACCATCTCTTTCTTCTCTATACTATGCATTTCAATTGTGGCGTTAGACACCATTGGTGATGCAGAGGCAGCGTAGTCATGATTATCCTCATGAGTGCTGGCGATGCTGAGGATGCGTCATGATGGTTATCATCCGCTCCCATTTCTGTCTCAGCGGAACAGGGGGTAAACGAACCCGCGGCCGCGCGGTGGCGAAACGAGACAACTTCCAAAGGCCCAAGAAAATCGCACTGCGCCGCAGCGAGAGCGCTTCGACACGCACGATCTCTGCAGAGGGCTCGCTGAGACTAAGCCGAATTCGCACGGGGCCACAGCGAGAGCGCGGAACGCAGAAAAAAAAGAAAGTCGTCAGTTTTTTTTTTTAACATCGGCCACGCGGATCTTCGCAGAGGGTCGCGTGCTCCCCTCAGAAATCGTAAAAAGCTCTGTTGTTTGACCTTGACCGCGCGGAACTCTGCAGAGGGTCGGGCGCGCGCCGCAGAAATCGTGAAAGTCTCATTTCTTAACATCGACCACGCGGATCTCCCAGAGGGTGCAATTTCTCTTTCTGTCCATCACGCGCGTTGTCTTACACTGATACTGGTGGCGGGCGTTTTGCTTTATGCACTTGGCTCTGCACACTTGGCTCTACACACTTGGTTCGGCTCACATGGCTCAATGCACTTGGCTCTGTGCAATCTGTGCATTGGGCTTTGTGCATCTGGCTTGTGCTCTGTGCAACTTAGCTCTGTGTGACTTGACTTTGAAACTTGGCTCTTTGAAAGATCTGTGCAATTTGGCTCTTTGCAACTCACTCTGTGTCTCCACGCTGTGTAGTTTAGTCCAATGGCTCCGCACGGAAGAGCCCTGCCCGCTGTCCACCGCCACCACCAGCCACTATCTCAATTGTCTGCCCCCTTGCGGGTGCCAGGTCAGCGCCTGACTCGACTCCATTCCTTCGGCCTGCCTGCTGCGCTTGCCCTTGCCCAGCGCCCCTGCCGCCCCCGCCCGCCGCGCCCGCCATGCTCGCCGCGTGCGCCACGGGTTGCGCCTCCTACCAGGCCGCTGCGCTCGCGCCTCATGCGCCCACCGCGCTCGCCGCGTGCGTCGTGCCTGCTACGAAGCCCGCCCGCCGCGCTCGCCGCGCCCGGCACGCTTGCCACGCTTGCCGCACCCACCGCACTCGCGCCCGCGCTATATGGTGGGGGCCGTAGGGGCTGGACAAGAATGGGCTGCCCGCTCAATAGCCATTATTTCCAATTACAGCAGAGATGGTTCAGCTTCCTATAAGGTGCGGCCAAGCTTTTAGGCACTGCTATTCAAAGCTGAGATGGCACAGTTGCAGAAGATACCCTGCCACCAATTCACATCTGGGAGACACTTTTCCTTTCACCGGGACCCCCAGTCAGGTTCCGTATGAATTGGTGGGCGGGAAGGGCCCGGGTAGCGTAGGCGCCCCTGACTTGAACCATTTTTTGTTGGCGACCAGCGAACCATGTAACAATCCATGGACATCGTTTCAAGGGAAAGCCTGAGGATGCTACTGCGGTTTAAGCATGTCCCAACAGCTGGTTTGTCGAATCCTGGCAAGTGCATCCGGCTGCTTTCTCTCGAAACACGTTGATGAGCTGTGCGCTGCACATTGGGCCAGTTCAAGCATCGCTTTCATCTTTTGATCCTCTTGTCCAACGACTCGTGCTGAAATGCCTACGCACATCCAACGAGTGGTTAGCCTGGTGGGTAGCGCCAACTTGAACAGTTCAAGCAACGTGTGATTGTTGGCCCCGTCGTCCGTTCAAGCCAGCATAAGGCCATCTGCCCGTGAGGATGGCTATAGATACTATCAGTGGCCCTTCACTCTTGGGCTATCGCCTCTACAAGGCAAACAATCGAGCAAATCAGCTGGCGCAGAGTCCGATGTCGTTTGGCACAGCACAAAGAAGTGTGCGGGAGCATCATCATCATCATCATCACCAACACCATCATCATCATCATCATCATCATCATCATCATCATCACCATCCATCCATCCATCCATCCATCCATCCATCCATCCATCCATCCATCCATCCATCCATCCATCCATCCATCCATCCATCCATCATCATCATCATCATCATCATCATCCTCATCATCTCAACAGTGTTCGCAAAAATGCACTGCCTGCGCAACCACCGAATCTGGATACTGCTGACCCATTGTAAAACCAACTTTCTTCTGAGCCATTCAAAGGGATTGCGCACCTGCCAGCAAGCCTTCTCCGGCGTCGGTGGCTTTGCGTGCTTCAGAATTCTTTTCAAGGGCTCCATTGCACTTACGCGACGGATTCGAGGCGCCTGCCCTTCAAGCAGAGACAGGTTGGGCCACTAGGCAACATTGTGTGTCATCCTCTTCCTTCAGCAGTGGTCTTCTCCCTTCGGCTGAGCGTAGTTCACCTCAGATCAGCGCGCAGGATTCTCTTCCTCAAGCAGAGATCGAGCCCGCCCGCTCCTGTCGAAAGCCCAAGTGTCAAAGCACGAGAGTGGTGAAGTTCACGCAGGCAGAAAGCCAGAAGGGCGAACTTTCACCATGACGTTCGCCAGGTAGATATCGCAACAAACTGTCAGACGCAGGTGCGCATGTGCAAGTAAAGAAGCAGAAGGTTTCCATGATTTTTTCAATGGCCCAGCGGGGTCGCCAAAGCAAAAGCAGGAGCTTTTGCCTATGGCTCCGCCGGCTTTACTGGTAGCATGGTCTTGCAAGATTGCTGCCAGAAACTGGTGCTCAGAGATTGCTGCGCCTGCGCTTCTGCACAAATCCAGTCCAGTGTTGGCAGATGTTGACATCCTTGCTTACATTACTTATGTATGCTACGGAAACAAACACACAACGATAAAATGAAGAAGCGCAGCGTGGCAAAAACTAACACATAAAAAACTGGAGCGCGCAGCTTAAACTCACAAAGCCTGGGTCCACGGGCTACCTTCTGCACAAATATATACGTTTCAGCAGGTTTTCATCAAATGCCAGCTCGTAATCTTCGGGCAAACTGCCATTCCATCCTGTCCCGCAGATGTCGTTGAAACCTCATTGTGTTGCGCCAAATTGGAAACGTTTGCTTTGCCCCCTTCCTTGCTTCCAAGTGGATGCCGGGCGCGCCATCTCAATGTGTCCGTAGTCACTTTGTGACATTTGGCCCTCTGAGGTGGAGCTAGACCCGGGCAACGCCGTGGCTCACTGCAACTTGGGCGTGGTCCTTGGGGACCACGAGGCCGGGTGTGGGGACCAGGCGAACTTTAGACAAGGATGGTTGCCAAACTGACAATGGCAGGCAAAGGCTTTCTTCGGACATTTTTGAACCCTCTCCTTTTGGGACAATGGGGGGGCCAGCTGCTTTCCCAACCACAACCAGCAGGGCTCGTGTGAAAGCTGGACGGCTTCATTGGCGACTGTCAACTTCAAAGGTGCCGCTGCCCGTTCATCTTTCGAGTGTGCTAGCAAGGACGGACAAGGCGTCTGTTTCGGTGTTGCCGTTTAAATATTTTAACTAATATTTCATATGACCTCCATCGTGAGCTGTAAATAGCCGATTTAAACAGATGTCTTACACTACCTCCCAGCCCTGAAGCCCAGCGCCCGCATGTGTAAAAGTCGTCACCCTAGGAGCAGCGCTCCAGGAATTGCTGGGTGTCAGCAAGATGACGAGGGCAGGCTACTCATTGCTGCAGGAGCTCAAACACTTGATACCAGCTGCGTTGCGCTAGCTCCTGCCAAGCCAGGTGGGCTTGCGCCACAAAGGTCCAACCCAAAGGCGCCGTGTCCCATAAACGCTTGCTCGTGGAGAAGGAAAGCAAGAAAGACATGAATGCCCGTCTCGGACGGGGCTCCCGGATTTCCTTGAGCTTGGGATGGGGCCTGTTTTTCAACAAATCTCAGAATGAAAAGAATTGGAAGAGAAGAAAGAGAAGCAAGAGAGAGAGAGAGAGAGAGAGAGAGAGAGAGAGAGAGAGAGAGGGAGGGAGAGAGAGAGAGAGAGAGGGAGGGAGAGAGAGAGAGAGAGGATGCCTGGATCTGGCGTTGGGCCCTGTGTCAGACCTGTTTCAGACCTGTTTCAGACCTGTTCCATGTTTCAGACCCCTGCAACAGGACCGTCTCATATTCGCAAAATACTGCCCCGAATCCCTGGCACCAGTACTGCGGTGCAGCGGCTCGTGGAGAAATAAAAAGAAGTAACGAATGGGAACTCCCAGCTTTGCTATAGTTGTCCAGACAGCCCACCCCTTCCATTTCTGTTTCATTCTTGTTCTTGCACGCAGGTGGTGCGACTGCAAAACGGCAGCCTGTGGGACAAGCGAAGCCTCTTCGTGAAGTCGATTGAGCTAGCTCTGGGCCCGGCTTCACATAGCTTGCGAGCAGTTTGCGACGCGCAGCGGGCCACTTGAAAAAGCAATCAATCGCATATCACAGCGCAGAGCAGCGCTGGAAAACCCTGATAAGGCTGGGTCAGGTCTTTTTGGCGCTTTTCAGACGTTTTCTCAGGCAACGCACAAGGGAGAAGTGCCCAGGATCCAGGTTGGGCTCTGGCGTACAACAATCTGGCGAACCTGCTTGCGCCGCAGGCCGGCCGACGTGCCACAAGCCCACAGCTGTGAACATCCTAGCGCAACAAGTGGGTAATTTTCGTTTGAACTTCCTACCATTGGAACAAAGCTCGGGAGCTATCCTGCACAGGCCAAGTGAGCTGTATGTCAGCAGCCTTGTGAAACCGTCAAGTTGTCAATTTTGATAATTCCTTGCGCCTAAGCATGTATGGGTGTACTTAAGGGTTGTGTAGCGTGCTCAACCCTGAAAAGTCGTTGACATAGCCAAACATATGGGTTGCAGCTGATACTGACAACATGAAACTCACACAGGCCAGAGCTGCAGGGGGGATTCAAGTGTTCTGGCCGCGAGCCCAACGACACCCAAGACCAACATGGACACGCAGCGGGCAGCGCCAGCTGCGAGAAAGCATTCCTGGATGTTTACCCACTCTGCAACTCCAGTTCCTACCAGTCACGCGGGCATCAGCCCTGCCAGTGAAACCCGCAACATAATCCTCTCAAAAAGGCGAAACTGAGAAAATTGTCCAAAATGATGTTGTCCCGAAAACGGGTGTACTTAAGGAACGGGGCGGTGGCAAAGGAGACAGGTCGCCGAGTTGAAGGAACTGCGGGTCCGTCTGGTTGGGAGTTGGTGGCCATCAAATTGTGGCCCGAAATGATAGTGTACGTCAACTCCGCATTTGGCTGCGCGCGCTGCGCGCGTTGCAGAATCACGTGAGTGTGATGCAGTGTTGACCTTCCTTCCCACTTGACTCCTGAAATCTAGCCCGCTTGCGATTTGAACCACAGACGCAAAAGAGCATTTTGTGCAAATGTCCTCAAGTTCAAGATGGGACACGTAGCAGCTTTTTTGTGCCAGACCACATCCTTAAACAGCCCCCTGCCCTTAAATGCAGGTCTGACCCATGATTTATGAAAGCTGATCCTTGGTGTTCGCGGTGTGCTTAACATGTAGCAATTGGATGCGGTCACATTCCGTCCTGATTTGACTGATGGCACTTGTTCACTTGTTGCGAGAGACCGTTTCATAACCCCCCTGAGCAAGCAACTTTAAACTCCCAGGGTGTTAGGGGACTACCGCCAAAGTAAGATTAGATAGCTGGCAGGGCAAAAGCAGTTTCTCTCGGCCAGGAATGGGTGCGACTGGCAGATGGCTGCTGGGATCGCCGAGGGCTGTACTTGGCAGCATTGCAGCTGGACGAAAGTTACGGGGCACGCCTGGCCAGTTGCTCTTGAAGCCTTGCTTGAATGACTTCAGGAGCGGGCGCATTCTGACCGAAGTGACTGAAGGGATGCAATTGATGTTGGTGGCCCAGCGATTATAACATGCGAGAAAGAGGGCGAGGGAGAGACAGAAGGAGAACGTTGCGCAACCATTCAAAGGCTTTGTTTGCCTTGTGCTTGTGTAAAGGATAGTTGGACAGCTGATTGAAGACTTTAACCACGCCAGAGTCTCCTTGTACGTTTCAAGAAGACTTGCAGCAGCCGAGCAGAAGGAAACACGCGCGTGCTGCGGTGTTGGTTTGCCTGAAGCGAGTGTATGGCTAGAACTTTCCAAGCATTGCCCTGAGTGGTGCTGCACCTTCAGAGGCATCATGTTTTTCATGGATGTGGCCAGGTGGCGTACAACAATCTGGCTCTCACCCTTGGATTTCGTGAGAAGGCGCGCCGACTGGCACGCCGTGCTGAATGTCAGGAGGTTAAAGAGGCTACCCTTAGTTGTTGGATTAAGATGTAGGTCACGAAGACACTGTGGCACAGACCCCGCACCAGCAAAAGCACCCACAACCATCCGATGATCGTCGCACCAATTCTTCATGTCACAAACAGATGACAGACACCAAGCCATGTTCAGGTGCGATGCCTTGACCGGGTGTGGGATCGGCGATCTTTGCACCGCCGGGCGCTAGAACTTTGCCCAAGGCCGGAGAGACAAGTGGCAAGAGCAGGTGATGTCTCACCCTAAGAGGCATTTTACTGCCCCCAATCACAATTTTTACGCTACAACACGGACGCTTACGAAGTTGTGTGTAAGAAGGCAGTGTTTGGTTTACTTATGAACCAAATGTTGTGAATCCACAAATCAGCAAGGGAGGCAGTGTTTGGCTTACTTGCTTGCCAATTTTGATCAATACCGCACATCAGCAGGTGTGGCACTTGTTTCCTCGCCACCTTTTTGCCTTGAGCCAAATAGATGGCAGCTGGGATTGCTCATGAGCAGAACACCGTGAATCAAGCGCAGAACAAACAAGAAACTACACCACCGAAGGCCCCAAACAGTTTCAACCAGATCTTGTGAAACGTAGCTTGCGGCAGGGCGCCTTCCTGCAAAAAGCCCAGTTGAACCTGATCAGCCAACGCACAAAGGGAGACAAGGGGAGACAGAGCGCCGTCCAACCTTGACCGGCCTTGCAGCACGTATAAAGACAGACAAGCGGAGACACAAAGCGCCGTCCGAGCTTGACCTGCGTTGCTTCACATATGAAGGAAGACAGGGGGAAGACAGAGACAAATAGAAGGGCTGACCGAGCCAGACCGTGACAGCACCCAGCCCAGCAAGCGAGCGGGGAGACAAAGACTTGTGACTGAGCCAGACCATCTTGCGACGGCAATCAGCCCAGCACGCGCGTGAGGCAACAAAAGCGTGCGAAACGCGCGGGGCGTGGGGAGGCGAACGCGTGAGGAAACACGTGTGGAAACAGATGGAGCCGAGTGGGAAGACAAAGAGCTGACCGAGCCAGACCATCCCGCGACAGACAACCAGCCCGGCAGGCGCGTGAGTCAACAAGCGGGCGCGCGCGGAACGCGCGAAAATTCCTAGCGCGCCCGGACGCAGCGTTTTGCTGCTCTCGTGAAGCTGCAAAAGCAAAGCCCGCGCAACGCCACCTTCTATGGTCGGCAATCGTCAACAAGCGCACAAGCGTGAATATGTAAGCAGCTTGAGCCAAAGCAACGTGGAAAACGCGGGCTACTTCGCATGGCAGCCAATCATGTTTTTAGTCGTGCGCCAGGCAAGTCGCTAGCAAAAGATTTCATCGTTGGAGCGCGCGGCCTCGTTGGCCGGTTACCGCCGCTCAAATTGAGTTTCTGGCAATCGCAGTCCGCCAGACTGCTCGCAGAAGTACGCGTGATGGCCAGCTAATGTGGCAACATGTTCCCCACTTTTGTCCTCGAACACGGACATGGCAAAGAAGCCATGGACTTCCTTGAGCCAAAGAAGCGACACAAAGCTGGCTATTTTGCGCTCGGGCCTTTCACTTCAAAGTGTTGCAAATAAAGGGTCGGTTTGAGCCAAGGGCTTCCAAAACGGCATTGAAGTGGGTTGTTGAGTTCAGACTGGTTACTGCTGCGCCGTGTTCAGAAAGAGAGCGTCAGCGTGTCTGAGTTTAAAATAGAGGAATAACAACGCCTGTTTTGGCTTTTCGTTCAGATAACCCCAATGAGGGGGCTTGGAACTCTTTGAGCAGAAAGGCGCGCAATAACCTTGATGGACAAAGGCTGGAGCTTGCCAGAAGCACTTACAAGCTGTGCCGCAAAACAAACCCAAGTAGCCTGCCTCAGTTAAGATGCTTCAACGCACTTTCGTGTTGCCCACAAAGACTCATTCTACCTGAAGGATCAAAGTGTAGTAGTTTTACATTTTACATGCCAAAATTACTACACAAAAATTGCTTTTGTGTAGTAAAATCGTTGCGTAGTAACATGGGCAATTTTACCACACATTTACTACACACAATTACTACACATTATGTTTTTACAAATGTGCATTTTTACTACACTGTGTAGTAGCTTTCTGTGTAGTAAATTTTGGTGAAATTTCCAAAGCGCGTCCAAACTGCGTTCAAACTGCATTGGCTTTGTTTTTGCCAGTTTCCGAGGCGCGTCAAACCTACATCAAACCACAGACAAACTGCATCGAACGCACATCGAACTACACCCAAGCTGCATGCAAACGGCGTCAAGCTACATCAAAACTACTATACTCAATTGCATCAAGACTACATCAAACACATCAACACTACATCAAACTTCATCAAATCTACATTTTTAAGAGGTGGGACGCCAGTTTTTTTCAATTTGGAACACAACGACAATTCCCAACAACTATGTAGCACAACATGTCCAGTCACCCACAACTGCCAATCTCATTGTTTGTGCGATCACCTTGCGAGCTGAGTAGTATTGCGCTATAGAAGGGTGATCTTGTGAGTTGTGAATCTGTGTGGGGCTGGGGAAAAATGTTTTGAAGGGAGATGCGGCATGATCAGTGGGACAACTGGAAGGGCGCTATATAGATTCCCAAGAACTGCGCAAAAACATGACAGGAAATGTGATCTTGCGGGCTGAAACTGTCTGGGGCTGGGGAAAAAGGTTGGCAAATAAGAATTTGTCGGGCCCAAAATGGAGCCCAGTCGCATCATTTGATCTTGTGGGGTTTGAAACTGGAGCTGGGAAAAATGGTTTTGAAGGGAGATGCGGCTGAACAGTGGGACAACTGTGGAAGGGCGCCATAGATGCATGAGGGAAAAAGTCGTCAAATAAGAATCTGGGGCATTCTTGGATTCATTATAGATTTAGGGCATTTTCAGTTTTATCAGGTTTCAAGTTTGCTTACCTATCCTTTCGGTGGCTTCAAGGTTGTCTTGTGGCGGAGCTTGAGCCCAAAATGGAGCCCAGTCCCGTCATTTGATCTTGTGGGTTGAAGCTAAAAGGTTTCGTGAAGGAAGATGCGGCATGAGCAGTGAGACAACTGTGGAAGGGCGCTATAGATTCGTCGTCAGGATGTGTGTCGACACGAGCTGTGTGTGGAAGAACGTCACACACACACAGGAAAGCTGCAAGCTCCGTTCGCGGGTCTTTTGTCGCCTTGGACTTCTGTGCCGGCCGGGTCTTTTGCGATTGTGTCTGCAGATGATGGGTAAACATGAGCACACAGAGGCTTTCCGCACAACAACAGCTATCAATTTGGTGTTTCTTTTTATAAACAGAAAAGTTTGGTCAGCACACAATTGTACACTGGGTGAAAACTGAAAACTATTCGCAGCAGACAATCTTGTGTGCGGCGGCGGCGCAAGCTCTGGCACATCATATGTAGAATCAACAGTCCAGCTGCATCATCTCTCTCTGCACTTTGCCGGAAAAAGGGCTCACGGGATGCGGGTTTGTGCTGACATGTCATTATCGCTCCATTTGCACTCAGTATTCCCTGGGTCCGTAGTGACCGATTCATTTAAGACCTCTGGCAGTCTTCCAAGTGGGCATGACGCTGCTTTTTGCACAATGTGACCCGGAACCACACGACAGAAAAAAAAGAGAATCCACGCCAAAGAAGTTCCCCTTGCAGCCAAAGACTGCCTGGCGTAGATTCACTGTGGCTTTGGTGGAGGTCCCACGGTGTGCGATCCACATGCCCTCGCCATCGTCCCACATGATGAACAGCTCGCCGGGCGCTGCGAATTCTGTGCCCCTCTGGCATTCCCAGTAGGCATGTTGGTTTGCTTTGTCCTCGGCTAGTATAAGTGTGTGGCTTGAAAAAGAAGGCAGAAAATGACACAGCCCTCGCCGATGCGCAGGCAAAAAAGTATTACACACCCAAATGCCACCCAGCAAAGTAGAGTTGGTCTTAACTCGCAAGAGACAACTTTGTGGCTTACTTTTCAACAGGTCGCTGGCGCCAACGTGTAGTTGAAGGCGTAGCCGCGCGCGAAGGCCGCCGTCGTGCCAACGGTAAGATTCGCTGGCAGTTGGGAGGAGGCCGGAGTCGGAACCGAAGCCGTTTTTTCACACGAGGGTTGTTGGGCAGCGCGCGTGTCCTTTTTTGCTTGAGCACTGTGTCATAGACACAAAACGAGGTTGACAACCATTCATTCACAACTGCTGTGTGACTCCTTGTGGCGCACATGCAACTGCGGCAAGAATTGTCATCAAACACATGCGGCCTCACATGACTCACACTTTTTTGCCCGCCAGCAGTCCGACTCCTCTGTGTGTCGTACACAGAGCAGACAACGCTTCACCGCGTCACTCGCAATCTCTGTTGGACATCGTGCTTTTCCAGCCGCACACAAGTATAGTACTGCTGCCACAGGGCACCGGAAGAAGCAACTTCGCCCGCCATCCTCTTGCTCATCTCGAACAACTCGGTGCAGCAAGAATCTCGAAGTTGCAGGAACTCCAAGATGCCGCGCGTGCACTTCCTGTGACAGGCCAATGCACCGTTAGCGCCAGACATGCCTTTGTTATCATACAATGTCACACAGAGAGCGCAACCGCAAGGAAACCAAACCCAACCGCACGCAACTCTAGACCCTTCCTGCCTCAATGATGTCAGGTATGTCTCGGCGTTCTGTAGCTTCTCATGGTGCGTTCCCTTCGTACCGATCCATGACATTGCCAGATTGCTGGGATCTAGCCGTCGCATCAAAGGATCAGTGAAGAAGTTCCCCTCACAGTAGAGGATTCGCCACAACTGCGCTTCGTGCCAGGTGCCTTGATGGAATTTACTCAACTGCCCGGTTTCTTTGCAGAAGCAAGGGATGTAGCCCATCTGCAATATCCTCTCGGCCAAAAATGCAAAATGCACATGTGCGGCGCAATATAGAACAAACGAAGTCCCAACATCACAAGGAGAGCACACGTACATCAAAAACACAACACCTGTTTGGCGGCTTGCGCGTCTCCTCCACAAGTCGTTCTGGTCGAACGCGAGCTTGCCATGCTCCATAAATTCAGGAAGGTTTAGCAGGCCCAACAGCGTCCAAAATTGCTCGTGCGTGAGCAAGACTCTCGCAGCCCAGTACTGGTTCCTGAAGGTGGGGATCTGATCGTGCTCACTTTCGAGAAAATCTGCTGTTTTCCCAATACGTTGCGGCCCCAGGGGCAGTACGCAGCTTCCACGTACAAAATCTTTGCTTGCAGCATGG